ATAACTGGTACGAATACCGAAATATACAAATTTTTTCCAGAAAATAACTGTCTCCATAAATTGTTTGTTTCACCTTTGTCCACACTTTTCTTCATTTAAACTTAACAATTTCGCTTTCCTAACAAACACGTTTTCTCAAAGAAAATTTGGAGGCATTTATTCTTTCCGCTCATTGTGTTACCATTTTAGAATGGTAGAAAATGAAATCTAACTGTCTTCATATCTACACTACCTTATTAAAATCACCTGATCAAAGTTTCTTCTTATTCCTAGTCTACCTAAATTCGTTCCCCTGGATTTTTAATCATACTTCTCTCCCAACCACTTTTGCAAAATTATAACTCCCTTGAGGAAAAAGAAACAAAAAACGACTGAATAGCAGAAGGAGAGAAAAGAACAGTTTCAATCATTTCTCTTTTCCCATAAATCAAAGATAACTGCCACTTTAGACAAAAATTAGTTTAAACCAAAATCGATCTAAAACTTAATCAAAAACTGCCCACAGTTATCATAATGAATTTTATTCTAACCTCATAACAGTTTAGCAAAGCAATTACAACATTTAAGATCACAAAATGTGATATTAACAAGGGCAAACATAAAGAAATGTAAAGCTAGAAGAAAAATGAACTAGATATCAAGAGAAACAGTTGCTGTATATCGATAAAAAATATGCAGATTTTAAGTGGAACAAAAAGATATGTTGGATCTGGAACAAAATACCGAAAAGTCAGAAAAGTAACTGGTGAAGAAATATCATTTTCAATTCAAAATGCATTGCACTTTGAGTTCCAATTTAAAATAATGAAATCAAATTCTTTCTCTCGAGTAAAAGAAAAAGAGAATATGTGAGGTTAAAATAGTTTTGCAGCTAATGTAACAAAAAACGAAAAAGTTGTTCAATTTTGGTTTAGAAAATTTTAAAAGGAAATAACATGTATGTGGATATAAGTGGAAATTATACTCTAGTTAAAGCCCTGCAATAAATCAGTTTCTTTCGGGAATTAACGAAAAAGATATTATACTAATAAACTGTCTTCTAACTAGGTTAAACGGAAGCTGTGTGACTCGTCTTTCTCAAATATCAAGGCTGATCTCTTAATATTATGAGCTCAAAAAATTATCGCAAAAAATTCGGAAATGGATAAGTGGGGTAGGCCTGAAGGAAATAAGGATGACTGAAAATCATGATGGACACACTTTTAGAGATGAATAACTAATGGTTCGCCACTGTAAGCTCCAGTAAAATAAAGATCGACATATGCTGAAAGTGGTGGAACTCTAACAAAGAAAGTTAATGATTAGATGGTTATTCAGATGACATGTTCGTTTATAATTGGAAAATCAGAATTACTGCGTAAGAGATTATAGGAAATTAATGTTATTTTTTTAATAAATAAAATTAACATATCTCTATTTTCACTATTGCAGTTTTTTTTTTTTTTAAATTTTTTTCTAAATCTTTTATAAAATTCTATTAAGTAAGTAAAATAAGTAATTGAACAATTATCATGCTATGTGCACTCAAGCAACATAATCAGCTCTTGAAACAGCAAGACTTCCCAATTTTATGATCATTAAGAAGATCGAAATTATTAGTGGTGTCCGACTGCATCGATTTTGCATTTCTCTCACCGTTCTGACGTTCTAGTAAATGCTCTGCGACAGCAGTAATTACTTTACGAATACCTTCACCATTCATTGCCGAGGTTTCGTGAAAAGCAGCACCAATTTGTTCGGCATATTGTGCTCCTTCATGATACTGTACCACTCGAGCACTTTCCAAATCTAATTTATTGCCAACAACAAATAAGGAGACAGGAACTGTCGAGCCACGTTCGACTTCTACAAAAACAAAAACTAGAAATATTAAAATGAAAAAAAATATTGGAATGAATTGAGAACATTCAACTTTACTTTCATAGTAAATATGTAAATCACGAACAAAAGTCAGAAATTTTCTATTTTTAGAACTGCTTCGTACAAGTAAAATCACATAAGAAACCTAATCAATACAAAAGAATATCTTTCAATTTAATTCGAGATATATATTTGGCTTTTCTTTAGCATTACCCAGTTATCTCCACAGACAAAACACTTAATAAGCACTGAAAAAAGAAATAAATAAATAAACTCACCATTAACCCACTTCTTGATCTCTAAAAATGAATCGCGATCAGTTACATCGTAAACGATTACTGCTGCAACTGCGTTACGCAGATACATCGGAAGCTAGAAAACGATCAACAGTTTTAAATAATTACTAAGAAAACAAAAAAAAAAATTCTGTTTATTCTATATAATTTTCACTTCAAAATAATCTAAAACAATACATTTACCATGGATGCATAGCGTTCCTGCCCCGCTGTGTCCCATATTTGCAATTCGACGTTTTTACCATCCAAAAATCTTAAAAAATAATAAATTTCAGACTAACTTTTAAGATTTAAAAAGTTGGTTGGGCAATGATGTTGGAAATTTTAGTTATAAAAACTAATGAACCAGTATGTATGCTTTCATCAGAATTTTTTCATCAGAGAAGAACAAAGTCCAAACAAAAAGTTCAAATAATTCTACTTAATATATATTTGATACATAGTGCCACCTTTATAACCAAAAAGAACTTTAATGCACCGAAACATACACAATGACATATAAAACGATGTCTACCATCCCAAATCAGTTTTATCAAGCAGTAGTATTTACTTTAAGGAATACTTTATAACCTACAAAAACGAAGAAATAAAGCTAGCTCCTAGTGTCGGGCTGACTTTACTATAGAAACCTTGGCCATCATGTCGAAGAATGATGCTCGTTTTCCCGACACCTGAAAATTTGAAACGTAATGCGTGCACAACAAATATAATGACAAATAAATAGTAATTTTGATCCCAGCAAAAATTTAAAATTTAACAGCAAATAAGTGTTTGGTTTAAGTCCAAGAGTTTTCTTGACAAAATCAAACATTAATCTGTTTATGAATTATTCTTATAAGAGGCTACTAATCTTCAATTTAAAAATCAAAAAGAAGCGACTAGAGGAAAACCGTATCCGTTCACTTACCGCTTCTGCCAACAAAAATGATTTTAGCTCTGAGATCTGGTCTAGCAATTTGAGAAAAAGCTGGTGACATTTAAGTGAGATAAATTTCTTCGATTCAATAATGTGAGATAAAAATCTTAAATAAAAAAGAAGCAAGAATTTTATAACATATAAGGGGATATAAAAAAAGTTTATCCAGTCACTCAGAAGATAGAAGACTGGATAAACTTTTTGCTCTAAGGAAGATGCCATTTCACTTGAAGCTGACCAAAACAGCTTCTGGAGGGAAAAGAAAAAAGCACGGTGAATACATTAAATAACAAATATTATTAAACTTTTTTCACTCCAGTAGTAGTATAACGGCAGAGTTCAAAGCAAAAAGCACAGCTGCATAACAACATCACTCGTTCTTCAAATCTCTATAAGTTTCATATTAATGACGTTTCACTTCATTTCATGCATTTCTCTAACATTTAGCATGAACTCCCACTCTAAATCTCTTCATGAAGAATTACTTCTGCAACACGGATGCCGATTCCAAATAAAGACGAAAAAATAGAAAATAAAGACATAACTCTAAAATGGGACAGTTCGAAATTAGCATATCCTGAGCACCACGAAAGTGTGTGCTGTCACATATGTATAACGAACGCTGATATTCTCCTCTCTCTTCCGTTTTTGAACCCTAGAAATTTTAAAAGCATCATCCATAAGACCAACTTTCCAGCTTCCACTTATTTATATAGAAACATCGATATCCACTGAAGTGGTAAGAGAAATCAAATCAGCAACCCATCTTCAAGAGAGATTGTATTTTTTTACATGCAGCAAAATCTCAAAATGTCGATAAGAGATTATGAGTGGAATTGCACAGTTACAATGTAATGCACAGAAAACCTTATATGATGTATACTTGAAACAGCATACAGCATTCTATTTCATTTTTGATACAAATGAAAACATGGACGAATTTTAGAATTAATCATAGCTTCAAATAATTTTAAACAGCAGAATGTGACATAAAGATTCATCTTTTCAACTAATAAAAGACAGCATATACAATCGTGAATAATTTTCACAAAACGCTTAAATATTGATCAAAATTATTTATAGAACCACTGTTTGATTCATCATCTAAAGCCTCAGTTGACAAGCATAATCCAACTTCTTTACTTACAGTGGTCCTATATAACAAATCAACATGATGACTTCAGTATTTACAAGGGCAAACAAATTACTGAGAGGAAAGAAAGACAAAAAACGTGCGTCTCTCGCGTTCGAAAAATTCCTAACCGCCGTATCGGATACAGCCTATACAAAATCACCTATACAATACTTAACAAATTTTAAGAAGGGAATAAATATGGCAAATATCAACACAAAATGAAGGAACTTCATTTTATTATCGTCACGGAAAAGTAACTGCCAATATACCGGACATAACGAGCTTCATGAATTTGAACTCGAGCATCGGAAAATTCATTCACTTCACATGAAAAATTAATAAATTATAACGTTCCAATAATGTCACGATGAAAAATGAAAGGATAAATAATATTAACGAGTAATGCATGGATGACACTCATCAAATAACAACTCGATATGAGCAATTTGATACCACACAGCTAAAAAACTTCGGCTTATTCTAAAAACATCGATGACAAAAAATATGAAAAAAGTCAGCCTGTTTCACCTACAACTTCTAAAGACCAAATTTTATTAAATTTACACTTCCTACAAAAACATCATAAAAAACGCAATTTTTATCTCACTAGTAGACCAATTTTTGCTTCCGAGGTCATATATTTTTTTTTTTTGGAGATATAAAATGTACAGTAAATTCTACAAATAAATCAGTTGATGAATTAATAAAATAAATGTTGAAAATTCAAGTTTAGATTCTTAAGGCAAGCACTCTTGCCTTAAATATTTTTGAAACCATTCAAATCGCCCTATGTTTACTCTTTCTCCTCACTTCCTAGTTTTCCTGTGGATCGAGTACTTGGTGATGGTGTTGAATGTAGTGGAATTTCGTATGGACCTGAAATAAAGATATTTATATCGCATTATATTTTTGCAATTTTACTTTCAGAAAGATGAAGGTTAATATTTTGAAAATCGAAGGGACAAAATAAGAAGCTCGGAAGGACCACTTAAAAAAAAAAAAAAAAACAAAAACAAATGGATGACACTCCAAAAGGAAATGATTTCCATAGATGTAATGATGAAGCAAGTCGAGAAAACAATATACAAGGATGAAAGAGTCAACAGAAAATTGATGAAATGTCAATATGTAAAACAGGTGAAACATCTCAAAAATTTATTAAAAGCAATACTAGCAATATCTACTGTATGCACAACAAGCTGTCAGTTTTGGAAGCAATTCAGTGATTTTAGAAAATATAAATGACTTAGGAGAAACGGGCACTCAATACATTAACATCTATTCAGTGCCCAAACTTTATGATCTGAAAACCTAGCAGCTGAAAAAGACGGTGGAAATCTAGTCTAGTCCTTTTGTCTTTATAGAGAGTAAATTATAAGGTTAGCAAAGCCAAGAAATGAATGCAGATGACACAAAGCAGTTAGAAATAGTTTGATAACTATGAGGTCCACATTTTCAGTCTCGATCCCTCATTGAAATCATTGTACGGAAAAAAAAAATTAAAACCTAGCGGTGAGCAAGCTTAAAGTAAAGGAGTAATTGCTGAAAGTTGGGATAACACAATTACCACATAAATTAATTTTTTAAGCTTTACTCTCAAAGACGAGTCAATATAAATTGAGTGAGAAAAAGAAAAGTAGTAGTATAATTTGTTAGTAAATCAAAGATGGGAATGGCAAATAGCACATGCAAAAATTTTTGATTTTTCAATAAAGATTCCATACTTGATGATACGGCGTAATCCAAAGTTGCATATTCGTCTGAAAATCAAGATATATTATAGATTTTTCATTTTCTTTTAGTTTGAAATAAAATACGATGAAAGTAGAAGACAAAGTTCCCATAACTCGTTACTTCATGTAAAAGCAAGTATACAAAAGAAATATGTACGTGTAACTGAAGAACTTCTTAGCTGCTCACTCTTAGCGATAGGTACTGGTTCATCCGATACCACTTTTACCGGCACTGTCTCAATTGTTGGTCTACGGTACATTGGATTGTTGAATTCTCGTGTTTCAATTTCATTATGAGTTAAAAGTTCTTTGACATTTGGATAATAACTGAAAGTTGATAACGGTTCAATCTGAATATAAGGATTGGAAATTTAAATTTATGGATCATAGTGAACGAGGAAAAACCTCCTGAAATTACTACACTTCGCTGCTGCATTTCCTGCAAATAATTTGTCAGAAAAGCTTACGTAAGAATTGGAAAATCAGGATCCCTTTCCTTTCTATATTTTCTTCGATAGAAAACTGTTCCAAACGAAAACAAGATAACAGCAAATAACAATGTTAGCAGAGCAGGAAACACCCAACTGCTACTTTCAGCATATTCTTTCACTGCTGCATTACCTGTAAATAATTCTATATGTTTCAATAATATTCATCCCAAAACTGCGGACGTTGTTGTTAACTTCCTCACAAGAATTCTATCAGTTCCATTTTTCTGGCTGCAACTTCTATGCTTCTTGAGTATAAAGGTATAAAAAAAGGATCTGAACAAAATACAATGGGATAAAAATATGAACTGAGATCTAACAATCTCTATCATTCATTAATCACGGTTAAAAGGAGCACAAACTAACTCACGTATAATACGGCATGGTTTTGTATGCAGATCGCAGCATCCAATCACATTATCGCACATTTCATTTTCAGAACAGTTACAAAGTAAGCTGCAGTTATTGCCATAATAACCTTCTAAGCAAACTGTAAATTCAAAAAGACAAAAATTTGTGTAATGACAGAGTATAAAGTGATCGTAAGATCGTAGAAAACTGTTTATCCTAACTCACGCTACAAAGTTTTACAAAGTTTTGTTTGCTGTCCGGCATAGACAGTACGAATTTTACGAATACTTCGATATTCCGGTCTTTGAAAAAAGCCATCTCCGTATATTTTATGAAAGAAAAAAAAAAACTAATCAATCAACAAGTCATACAAATTAAACTTGGGTTTGAAAATTCAAAACGTATACAACTACTTTACCTTCACAGGTCTCCTGTGGTGTTTCGTAGTATCCAGAACAGCATTTATAGACAGTTACCTTCTTTTTCGTTGGTAACGCTTTATACGAGATCTTTGTACCGTTACTGAAGAACATTTATTTTGTACAGAAATTATGAATTTTGGTCACTCATTTGTGTGATTAGCTTTTACTAACATTTGTTTCATTATTCAAGATCTGAGAATTATATTCCCATATATATAGTGCTCATATTTCCAATGTACTATTAACTATATAATGAATCTAATAAACGAAATATTTTGCTTCTTAAAGTTGGTGGTCATTTTTTAGCTCGTTACAAACATTTGTAACCATATATCTACTCATCCAACCTACCTGTACTTAAATTTTAAACATGACAATCACTGCGGCCTAATAGAATTTTTTGATGTACATTTGTTATAACAAAAGACCGATGTAATCAAAAGATTATGTGGAAAAGAATTCAAATCAAATTTTAGAAAAAGCTGCAGACTTACGTCTTCACTTTACAACGGAATCCTTGTGAGACATCCCAGCAAGCTTGCGTTGTATGTAGCATAACAGTTTGTTCATGCTTCTGCAAGCTCAATTCCTCAGCTCTAAAAAATTAAAAACTATGAAAGACTGCCAAATACTTAAAACAATGGTCCAGCTATAATCATTTGAATTGTGATGAATGAAAAGAAATGACATCCTGAAAATGACCTAAATGGTAAAATCCATTTATTGCAATTATAGGCAGAACCAAATCAAGAGTCTGCATAAAGCTGTATAGTTTAAAAGAGTTTAATGTCATGTTTTGCTGACTGCTTATCCAGACACTAAGAAGAAATGAACTATAAGTTAGAAAGCATTAAAGGGCTTAAAAACTTAATCTTGATCTTGAAGTAATCTTATTTTTCCTCTTCATTATTAAAAGTTTGCAAACAATATATTGTGTTCTTTTCCACTGCGTTTTGGTTGAAGTTTAGAGAAATTTTTGACTGTTTGAAGTTTTGAAGGATATGTTTTTGAATACCTTGTCTCGTGGTTTTATACATTTAATTCAAATCATTCAGCTTAGTGACATGATATTCATTTCTATGAAACTGCTAAAATAGATCCGTAACATTTGTCGCCCTGTCAACTGGTATTACTTGGAGTAAACCAGAAAAATAAAAAAAGGATCCACAACTTATATTCAACTTTGTCTGCTAATGATTTTTAACAGTGCACATAAATGTCATCCAAGATAAGTCTAAATAATGATGACGATGTAACATTTGTCATATAAAGAAATGAGGAGGAAGAATAAATAAAAAGGAAACCGATTACGCACTGCTCTAGATAAAATGATAAACAAAGAATAGGACAAAAGGGTGTTGAACCGATTATTGATTTTAAAATGGCAGCACATCTAAAACACTAAGCAACATTGACTAAATTTAAATGGATTTTTCAAAGGAAATATTACGAGCGAGGCATAAAAAAGCAAAACATATAGCAAATATTTAGATTTAAACCAAAAAATGCGATGGTTAAACATTTGCAATAAAAAATTTAGTTAGATCATTTTTTATTGTTAAATGTTATTATACCTTACTGTCATTAATATAGAATTTTTCGGTGTCTGAGGACTCATACAGGAGCATTAAAATGCGAAATAACTTGGCAGTCCACCTATATCCTTCACCGACACTCACGTTAATGATGATGGAATGTAATTAGAAAAAATATGAAAGATTAACAGTACGAAACATTAAACACAACAGAAAAGTTTCCATAAGCGCTCCAAATTCGCTTCCATGAAATGAAATAAAGTAAAGATGATACTGGAATATTAAAAAAAGGTTATCAGTTGAGATGCATAATGTAAAGTGAATAAACTATGAACCGCTCATGTGCATTCTAACTCCGAAACAAAACGTTAAATACTGTAATAGATATGCACGCAAAAATAACATATTTATTAAAGTTATATCTTTAGCAAACATGGTCTTATTTCATATTTTTTGTAAAGCTCTTTTGTGATTTGATGCAGCAGATACAAAGAAAAGAAATCTAAACACATGCATAATACCGCCTTTAAAAACAATCTTCCTAACCAGGTATGCAAGCAAAATCGGTTTTATTAAATCACAGTCCATACTCATTACAGATCAATTAAAGAACGTTTTTTTCTCTAATTTTATCTTCAAACTTTAATTTCAAACCATATTTCAAATTTATGCCTAACATCCAAAAAAACTGAATCTCTAGCAAGTGAAACAGTAAAATATTCCATTAATAGCCTTGTACCACAAATTCATAAATAACTTTAGGTAACTGTTTTTATGCGTACTTCACTCAAAGAAATCAAAAAAAAATTCGTTTTTTTAAACAAAAAAATCAACTTTTTTTTCCATTTTAAAACATCTAGAAATGCGTGAAAGTACATACATTTCTTCTACTGGACACACATTTTCTGCATTCATCACAGCACCATCCACAGAAGGTCCATTAATTAAGCACAAAATAAAAGTGGCTATAGAAACTAATGTCGTGGTCGTTCTCATCATCGGTCAAACTGAAATAAAAAGTGATTTTTTTACTATAATAATCTTTATCAGTGACATATTCATTACTAATAGATGATGTGCAGCTATCAGTAATAAATAATGAAAGAGTAAAAATCTCACCAATAACTTTATGCAGCAAATTCATAAATTTAGAATCATAACTATCACATTATCAGCGATAAATGATGCTAGAATGAAGGAGTTACATTTAACTGTCAAGTTGCATTTTCCTGATTATGAATAACAAATTCAGAAAACCAGGAGTATTCCTGCTTTAAAAACAGGATAATTTGCAGGATAAAAAACAATCATAAACTACGCGAATAAAACCAATAGTGCATACATTTTCATACAAACAGAAATCGATAACTAAGATGTGAATTAGTTTAAAACTTTGTGACTTTCAGCTGGTTAATATCATGCTTATCTACTAAGCAAATGAGAATTTGTTACCATGGTCATTCAGTTATAGTGAAAGCAAGTGGTAATGAAACTTAACTAAATAAGTTTAAGAAGTCCAGTTTTCAATACTAATATGTTAACAACATGTTGTTTAAAAATCGTTCATATAATATAGGTGAGAAAAATGTCTATTTTTTATGTTTTTCTTACATTTTTTTACAAAAAAAAAAAAAAACTTACTTAAAGATGAGAAAAAAGCTGAGATTCTTTTCAGTGGCTACAATAGGATGATGGCAGAATGGAATACAAAGCGATTGATTTCTACTTTGTCTTGTTCATCAATTGATGACACATCATCGGTAGCACACCTTTTACCTGTTTACCTCCCAAATTGAGAGAGCGCATGACAGACAGAGATTGCAAATGGGAAGAGAGGCACCGAAATGGTGAAAAAGGGAACGGAGCGACACAATTACGAAAAATATTTCACGAAGTATTTATGGAATATATGACTCATCTTATAACCTGTACTGATTCATCTTATAAATGAATACTTAATCTTCGTGAATTCACTTCTGTGACGAGCTTATTCCATGTAGTCTTGTACTTCGTCTTGTACTTGACCAATCAGTGTCATCTTTTGTTCCCCTAAACTGAGTTTTCACAGTAATTAAGTACATTCATAATACCTGATAAGAATCTTGATTACAAGTACTTACTTCTTGTTACTTACTATGGCAACTGATGTGCTGTCTAGCAACTGACGTGTCCTAGAGGAACGTACGTCAAGAATATTAACAGTGACATGCAAAATAATAAGATGACCAAAGCTGCGTAAGGTTTACCAGTTTTTTAGCTATTCAAGAATGCTACACTGAGGAGATACTTCACAATTACTCCCAATCTCTGCTATGGTGGTCACACGTGATTACTTGTCTTCCCATCTCCCTTAATACGCTATCTTATAAATTTTACTATTCTATGTTTTTCCTCGAATTGCTATACTATTTTCTTCAACAATCAATTCCTCTGACATAGGTCAGAAGGGTGACACGTTTGGAGACTTTTAGTATTGTGAGGAGCGAAACGAAGAGATTTAAATCATTAGTAGTGACATCGAACAGTATTGCTGACTGATAAGAATGTTTGTTAAGTTGTCTCTTAGGGCACTTTGAAAAGAAAAATTGGAAGCATTGAAAAAAGTATCAAGTAGTTCTTTACAATTAACAATAAGAATTTTGTTTATCCATTGAATAGTTTCCTCCTAAACAATGAAAAAAAACTAAAAATGAAAGAATTTTCAATTTATTTGCATAGCGAAGAGACTGGAATATTAAATTAGTCATTGTAAGCATGAAATCTGAGCAAATGACTGGCTAAATTCCTCCTTAGTAAACATCATAAATACCAATAAAATTAAAATTGATAAAAATAAAACAGTGCTATGGAATAATTATTGATACAACATATGTAAAGGTGATAGTCACCGGATTTATGGATGATAATTACCGGATTTACACTTGTCCGAGAACCAATAAATCTTTTTTCACACTTTCCACTAAAAAAAAAGTTTTGTCTGCTTTTTATACTTAAATGTGTCGAAATGATTATTTAAATGATATTGACTAGAAAAAGAATAAAGCAAATAATTATCGAACAAATACAAACTTGTTAAGAAGCGCTGATAAAGCAAGCTTTTAGGGAGCAAATGTTGATATGCATCTTGCTTTTAGGTCCATCGCAAGCATTCTCCTGTGCAAAGGTCACACTAACGACTCAAGGAGAGGACAAATACGAGAGGAACTGACGGTGAAGGATGAAGGACAGAGTGACCCGAGCATTCTGAAATGGGTTATTTCCTGGACAATTACGAAACGTTAACTGAATGACAGTTTGCTCATTTCTTGCATCCGTCTTTTGAAAAGGACGGTTTCAGCGAGGGATTAATATAAAACATCGGAAATATAAACCGATCAATAGGTGCACTTCACTTAGACGTTCAACTTCTTTGTTTACTTTTGATAAAGCTAAATATAAACAGCTAGCGTTGATGGTGTTCAACCTTCTTGATGGTACTTACTTGGTACATGAATATATTTGTTTATTTTCTAACACAGATTTGTATTAATATAAACGGTTAAAAATAATCATTTTCGGGATTTTTCTATTTCCGCCTCAAATGAGTCTCATAAATCAGCCACAGTTCTTCCAAAACTGTATTTTTTTCAACTTATCAATTGAAATTGCCTACAATTTCGAAGCAGATAAAGTTGACTAAAACAAATTTGAAGGGCAATTTATGTGCAATAAAGAGTTACTGGAAAAAATAAACTTTAACTCATAAATCATACTACAATGACTAATCAATTATGGTGCATTTGGCACTTTTCGTAATTTATTTTTGCTAATTAAGGAATTTTAGAAGGAGAGAATATAGATAATGGAATACAATAAGAATGAAAATTACATGAGGGAATCAGAAAAGTCACAAGGAATGGCAATAATAGCATTTCCAACCAATATTGAAAGTACAGGAATTTGAAGCACTTCAAAACATCGATGCAAAAAACGCCAACGTCCACCTTGACTGAAAATCGATAGCATCTTTTGTTTATGTTCAAGTTGGAGATGGAAACAGAAACAGAACAGTGTGTCGTTTAGCACATGAAGCGAACAGTAATTTTATGATTACTCACAAGAATAATTGTAAATGATTTTTGAAATAGTTTAGATTTCTGAAATTATTCAAGATATGATGTTGCAGTTATCATGCAATTATGTAAGAAAAGCATTTGACCTTTCAATTGGCCTTCATTCATCTTACCTCTTTCATTCTACAAGAAAAAGAAAGAAATGAAATGGAAAAAGAAATTCATTATCAGTACCAACCGGAATACTGAATTTCGAAAGTGAAGTGAACTTCGAGGAGATAGACAGTAATTAATGGAATCTTTTTAGTGATGTCGAAATAGTTGAGTAATTCAAAAAATGTGAAATTAGAATGACGCCAATTATTATTTATAAGTAAATGTTAAAGAGGAAGAGATGAGGAACTTCATTATGGGTTAAGGAAATCAGAGGTATAAGGTAAGAAGTGCTTTGGTTCAGAATCTTTTTACTCAACAAAGTATAATAAGCACAGGAAGTCGAGGCTATAATGAACAATTAGTTGGGCAATTTAACATAAAATTTACAAACAATTAACTCATAAGTATTGACACTTAACATTTTGTATATGAATATCGAACTTTAACTCTAAGGAATTTACTGCTTATTCGCTCTCCTCTTTTGATCTAAATCAATTCTAGGACAATCCATGCAATCCTAAACTTCGTGAAAAGCAATTTGGCTTGCAATCAGAGACTCTTCCGATACTTATTAGAAGTATATATCTTTCCCAATTTCATTGAATTCTGATCTTCGAACCATCCCTTAACTTTTCTCTTGAAAAAAACCTTTTTTTGATGAATCCAACTATGTCATGTATGAAATCACTTGTATTATATGATGATCTTCTGTGAAGGACATTGTAGAAAATCGAGTTTCTTTATTTTTTATTTTCCTCAATTTATGAATTTCTGAGAACTACTCGTAATATAGTGCTATTGCAAAAATGTTCCGTTTTCTGAATGCCTGTGTGTAATAAATGCACTAAACATGAAAAAAATGGCACACTCTGACATTAAATTCATTGCTCACTAAGCTAAAATCACAACGCAAGTAATTAATCTGTGTTAAACTTGCTTCCTAACTCATTAGTAAGACAGACTTGTACAGGAACTCTAATAATTTTCTTGCAATTTCTTATTATTCACCACAGAGTACTTTCAATTCAAAGTAAATTAAAAGAGCTAACGCTTAGATATAAATATATTAGCAAAATTTGCAAAAATTAATCATTTAAAGTGTCTAAAAAAAGTACTCTATGAGTGTCAACCATTTGTTATCCTTTGCCATATCGAGAAGTAAAGAGCTACTTATATAATGTTATACAAAAGTGGTGATCAATTGAAAATACATCTCTGGTGGGTGATATAGTTGACGAAGATGAAAATGTTTCTGATCTGCATGGTCTGTAATCAAAAAATTATAGTAAAGTAAATTACTAGGCTGATCTGAATAAGCGGACGTAAAAAGCAATACAAAAATTGCTTGGAGGAAAGAGGGAGGACAAAGCTTTTCTCTATCCATTAAAATTAAACCTGCGAAATAATTTACTGATAAGTTAACAGTATAACTCAAGAAAATTTTAAGTTGAGGGAGACAGACAGAGAAAGATAATCGACCGATTTAGATAAACACTCAACAAATTTCTCGAATAAGCGAACATAAATCCATGTGAATTCTAGTGCTACATCAGAATAAACAACAGAAAGGAGAAAAAAGAAAAGAAATTAACTATTTTTTAAAAAAATTTAATTTACTTAGTACTGATAATTTGAGCTCTGAATTTCAGTGACAGAAAATACCTGTGATTCATTAAGGCAATGCTTCTTGCGCTTTACTGCAGTTACTATATGGTGTAGAATTATACTTACTTTTAAAATGTCTGCTATTTGTTGACAAAGATTTCATTCTAAATATTTGAAAATAATGAA